TGTGAGGGAACATATGCCTTTCCCATCTCATCTTGGGTCAATTGCCAAGTCTTCTGGAGCAGGGTCTCTGACATCTACTTAATGATTGTCTGCTGATTCTTCAGGGCACTCTCCCAGTCCCTGCTCTCTCTCTTCACTCATATCTTGAGGGAGTGCATCATTTCCATGGCTTTAAACATCATCTGTATGTCAACAGTGCTCACGCTGACATGTGTAATCAAGACCTAACATCTGAGCTTCTGATTCACATGTCCAATCACACCCTGATACCTCCAGCTGAGCATCTCAAACTTAGAGAGCCCAAAGAGGTTTATTATTATTATTATTATTATTATTATTATGCCAGCACCCTCAAAACTCAACCTTCCCTCCTCCCCTAGTATATTCACCTTTGGAAATGGCCAACCACTCAGATGTGCAAGCCAGAAATCTAATGTCTAATTCCTCATTCTTATCTACATTTCAAGTTCAACTTACTAATATTTTATACTTTATTCCCAAAACATCTCTCAAATTCACTCACCTCTTTCTACCTCCATTTCTTCCATCCTATGGCAAAGTACCATCACTGAGTAGCATATTCATATCTAAACCAGTAGTAGCTACACAATATAAAAGTGAGACCAGACATGGTAGTGCAGGCCTATAATACTAACTACTTGGAAGGCTTATATAGGATGCTCTTGGTTCAAAGCCAGCCCAGGAAAAATGTTAGCAAGATCATATCTCAAAACCAAGCTGGGTATGGTGGTACACACTTTAATTCCAGATACATGGGAGGCAAAGTTAGGAGGATCATGGTCAGAGGCCAGCTCAGGCAAAGTTAGCATAAGATCCTATCTGCAAAACAAACTGGGGTCATGGCTCAAGTGGCAGAGTATTTGCCTATAGGTTTAACCCCCAGTACAGAAAAAAAAATGATGGTAAAAGTGGAGCTAGACTATATCTTCACACAAAATTATTTAACCGAGTTTAATTTAACATAAAGCAAATATTCCAAAAGGCTGGATATACATATAGGAATATGGTGGCATGTTCAATATGGTATTTGGTATTTAGTTTATAAATCTGTGTTTTATCTATGATATTGAATAAGATCACTACAAATGGTGAAGTTCAAAAATCTTAATAAGCAAATTTTATGTTGAGAAAATAGAAAATATTCAGAAGAGTAGAAATATTTCAGTGCTTTTTGCCAAAGTCACTTTGATCTCTATAATTTTATGTGTTCTAAGATAAGGTTGACAACTCTGGACAATTCTTACTCTTGACTAGTTTATTAAATTATTAGATTCCTAGTTTTTACTGTATGAATAAAGACTTTTATGAACATGAGTAACTATTATTTTAATAATAACTCACTGTGCTAAAAATTGACATTTAAATCTATAAATAAGATCACAGCTGCTGACCTCTTTCAGTAAAAGAACAAAAGGAGTTAGCAACTCATTCTCAGAGTCCACCTAAATCAATTAGGATGTTAAATCCATGCATAAAATAATGTTTAATAAAAATGCTTTAAAGGGAAAATTGTCTCGTTTTTAAATTAAATGAATACAAAAGATGACACAAGGTTCCCGGATTACTGCTACGAGGCTCTAAGACACCAGACACGGGCACTGCTAATAGTTCAACCGTAATTGGAATATTAATAGGATGTGTCATTCTGATTATATAGAATATGCATCAGAGTATTTTACCTAACTCTTCTGGATTGATTGGAGAGTAGCAGAGAATAATCTGATTGTCGCTTTTCTCAGTTTAAGAGCCCCATTTCAGTATTCTTACTTGCAGACTCTATTTGAGGACATATTCAAAATAAAAATCAATGCATTTATAACCTAATTAGCTGATCTACATTGACTCATGTTCCAGATATTCATTTCGCATGATATTATTGTTTTCACTAACCACCTGTGAATATATCCTGGTTGGCTGCTGGGTTAACACTAGTCTTTCTCCCGGAGGGAACTGAGCTAGCAGTTGCTGTAAGTCATCACAGAAGGACTGTGTTTTCCAAGTTTTTCCTGGTCCATACATGTTAATAAGATTTCAATTTTCCATATCACTTCATCTCAACCCATTCCTGGGCTCTGTACATGGCATTAGATTATAAGTGGTTCTTTAATGAATGGGTTTACTGTAAATCACCCTTGGCATTTGCACATTGGCCCCAGGGAGTAAAAGAGGGCCAGGAGTTCACTGGAACAGCTTCCTAAGAGCAGAAGACCGGGTGTGAGCCCAGTCACCTGTTCTTGTCATGCCCTGTATGAAAAGAAGCAGGTGACCTTTCAATGTTAGTTGCCACAGATTTATCCACAAGCTGTCATATAAAAAAAAGAGAGAAATCAGACCATATGTTATTTCAGCATTCTCTTGACTTTCAAAAAAATGTTAGAATCCATGATATCTTCTCAGGAATGGTCTTTTTCTAAGTTCTGCAAATGAGTTTGAGAACTTTGCTTTCAAATCATGCAAATATTCCTTTCCCTGCGGGGAAATGGCAAGTCTCTACTCTCTGGTACTTATACAAACAGAAGCCTAAGAGATGTTAGTGGCTTTCAGATTTGAACTCTGGCTCTCTGGGCTTGCTTAGCATGCCATTGATTTACTCATTCTGTAGAGGTGGAGAGAGAGGACCAGGGGAGATAGGTTTAATTAAGCTTAAATATCTCTGCAATTTCAGAATTGTAGGCCTGGAACAGTTCCTGTACTAACATGATTAGCAAATATTGACTTTTGAATACAATAATAATGTGTCATCTGAAACCCTTGATAAGTAACTTAAGTACTTCCTTAGCTTGCATCTTATTAAATTAGATGAGGTAAGGTGGAGGTGCATTACATAAAGACATTGAAATGAAAATTCAGGCCTAAGAGTTTTAACATTGATTTTAAGAGAAGTAAAAGTCACAAAGAAAACATATATGCTTCAGTTTCACAGCCTACTCATATCAGCTATTTTCTCTAGATGGATTTTTAAAAACTGTGTAATAATTTTCATGGTGCAACTGTAGTAAACATTCACAATTTGTGACTTTATGACAGCTGCAATCAATCATCAGATTATGTATGATGACCATATAATTTTAGTTTTATGGAAGGTTAACTTACACAGATTATGAGCTTTTGATGTGAAAATGTGGAAGAAGAAGCCATGTCATACTAGAGTGCCTCTGAATATGGTAAGAATAATCTACCCAAGTTCTTTCATAAGGTTTAACTTAAAAATGTGTACACAAGTCAGCTCCAAAAAGAGTTAAAAGATGTGATACTAGTCAGCCACACGCTGACAAATCTTACTTTATTGATTAGTTTTCAAGGGCTATATGGCATGTGTACTCTACTTACAATAGAATTGAAATGAGAGGAGAAGAGCCTCCAAATGTCATCAAAGCAAATGGTCTGTGAATGTTGCTTCAAAGCTTGTCATTAGTTGCCAGGGTATTTGGCTGCAAAGCTTGTAAAGAGGTTTCTCTTGGGGGGGAAGGTATGACAAAATGCATTTCTTGGCAAGAAGACTTCTGCTCAAATAGCAGGACACATTAATTCTTGCTTGATACATAAAATTAATTACATGATTACCATCCTTTATGAAATTTTGCCAGCTTTTTATTCTTTTCTTAAAAAAAAAAAAAACCTTCAAGAATAGACCCCAGGCTTTTTTGGTTCTCTAATGAAATTGCAAATTGACTTGTGTTCAAATGGTGCTTGAGTAAAATGAACAATTAAAAATGTATTACTAACAATGAGAGGTATCACCTGAACTCTTAAAGGATTAATTAGTTCCAGTAACAATCTTTCTCATATAACAGACCAGGAGGAACAGGACCTTTTTGGGTGAACAAGAAGGTATCAAAGAATAGGTTTTGAACCCATGCATGGGCATGAATATGTGTATATATCCATACACACACACATAGGACAAGAATACAGACATGTATGCAAGCATCTTTACAGATTTAAACCATAAAACTGGTTGCAGCATCCTTGGAGGTATTTATTCCACCTCAGCTAGGATGAGTCGACTGTTGCTGATTAGTGATCCATTAGTTATCTTGAAGGCAGCCAACAGATTTTACTGATCGTAATTTATCATTAAAGCAGAGAAAAGCTTTAGGTATTTAAATAATGTATGCAGATAAATTCACACTTATTTTTTTAATTACCCACCTGTACCAACCTTGTACGAATCTTTGTCCCCTATGAAGAATTTACTCTCTAAGGAAATTTCCCAAGTTAACCAAAAAAGAAAAAGCTCTTCCCCCTTGCATTGATCAGTTCTGCATTTCAGCCTTCACAAAGTATCCGATATGTTTCAGGTTACATTTTCAGTGCTTTAAAACCCTGAAATTATCTCCATATTTGCCATTGCAGACTGAAGGCTTATCTTGCAAAATATGATACTCCTGTCATTTCCTTAGCAATGATTTTAGATACAGTAAGGACAAATTGGAGTCCCCTGAGCTCACCAGAAAACTGCAAAGTGGACATAGCTTTCTTCTTCAAGACCTGTTTCAAGAGATGATATTCTAGAAAATGTCAGTTTTCTTCTGCTGTCCTAGAATTAGATCTTCTCACTTGCCAGCATTGGGCCAAGTCAGCCTAAAAGGGCATTTAGCATCCAGGCATTTGGTAAATACTGCTTCATTGTGCTTCATCCTCCCTACAGGGCATTCTGAAGAGATGAATATAAGTGTGAACAGGAAGAACAAGTTTCCAGTCCTGTCAAATTAATTAGACTAGTGTAGAATGAAGTGAGGTTTGCCGTTAGGTAAGTTGAAAACATGTAAGGAAGCTCATCTAAGCAATCTGGAGGGATTTTGAGAGCAGAAAGTTCCCTTGCATTTGTGAGTGTTTATGAGAAATCATCTCTGAATGGAGAATATATTATTTGTGTTTCTACAACACAAAAAAGAGAACCACAACTAAAATAACACCTATTTGATTTTTAAAAAGATACAAAGAAATAAATATGACATTTCTGGCCATTTACTTACAGGAGCAAAGCCTTATTCTGTACTGAGATCTGCATCAGGTGAGCTTATTACGAGATTGACAAGAACAGAGGGAGCAATGTGATCTGGTGGTCATTTCATCAGGTTGCATTCCATTTCGGTGCGTTAGGCCCAGACATCACCATCACCGATGCAAAGACAGGAGAAAAAGTTACATGTGAAACAATGCACTATTCTGAATGCAGGGCTTGGTGAGTCATTTAAGCTTATTTTAAACGAGCTTTTGAGATACATTGCCATACATCTCTCTCTATACTGGAATATTGATTTAGATAATTGAAGTAATCAATTTGTGTATCTATAGAGCATTGATTGCTTTGTACCACCCCCACAAAGCAAGCTGGCCAAGATCTCATGACGCAAATGGATGTTCCAAAGCGACTGCCTGCCACCACGCTGCTCCTCCTAGTCAAAACGGGTAAGGGTACAGCTGAGGTGGATGTTCATTGAATTAATTTAAACCTTGCTAAGCCAAAATATTTCTGGAATCATATTATGGTCAGGGATTTTTTGTTTATTTATTTTTATTTGTTTACAAAGGTTATGAGGTCCTAAAACTGTGTTTTCATATCTAGTTTTTTCCTTTCCTTTTATTTTACCTCTCCAGGTACCTCACCAACTTCAACTCCACTTTTCCTGACTTTGTTTTACTAGTCTTCTTTCCCTTCTACTTGCATTTATCAAAATTGATGAACATATTCCAGGTCTCTTCTGTCAGAGAATAAAATCTATAATCTATAATTATAAGAGAATTTATAATTGTCAGTGGTCTTCTCCACTGCCTCACATCCTAGCATGAAGCATCTTGAGTAGAAGTATGAAATAAATTCCAAGGAGGGACCTCTTCCCTTATCACCATTTTTCCAAGTGTTACTTGCATTTTGTTTTTTCTGTAACAGGATACAGGGATGCGGAACTGTCCTGCATTGGAGTGAGAATGCTGGGTTTAAATTCTCATGAATGGATAAGAATGTCTCCAACAAAATCATAACTAAAAATCATCAGAATATTTTTTCTGGCAGGTAACACCAAGATGGACTGTCAGAAGATGTTTCAACTACCCACTTTCCTTTTTCAGGGAGACTCAGTTGACCTTCAGCCATAGAAGCAGGACATGCCATATCCCAAATGAAAGAAATTCATGCCTGTGATGAGTAAAATTCCAATTAAAATTCATCACCAGCAACAGGCCTTATATCTTCCTTGGACAATGTGAATCATTTTTGATGCTGGGAAATGCACTTCATAAACCTCCATTGTCGTAGAATGTCTACTTCCACGAGAACTTGTTTTATATTAGTAAATAAAACATCATCTGACATTTTTGTCACTTCTTATGTCTGGGTGCTGCTGAAAATAATGGGAATGTTCACAGGTTATGGGACACTGTTTATCAAGGAATGTAGGTGATGCCACAAAGTATAAGTAACGCTTTACAGCCAGACGATTGATTCCTACTGCATATTTTAAAGCTTTCATTGCTTATCGAAACCTTTTAGGTAATGCACTCCTCTCAGATATCATTTTATGTTTGAAAACCTTTATAATTCATAGTGAAAAGTTGCTACGTTACCTCAAGTGAATCCACAGCTTCAATTATTCTCTGTGCAAATGGTTGGACTCCATTTTGACCAATGTTTATGGTGTTTGGCAATTTTTCAGTAACTGCTTTGCTCTGGTACGATTAACTTCTTGCATATTAGTCTGCTTTGCATATGTGGGGCTGAAATAATCTTAGTATACAGAAAGGAAATGAGAGTCCTTGTGTATTTCAGTTTGGGAAACATTTGAAACATAACATCATAATGTTAAGAGTGCCAAAAATAATACCAGCTAGCCTCAATAAAGACAACCATAAGAGACAAGGATATGCTGATGAGATGCAGCCTAGGACAGCCAGCATTTGCCTTGTTCCATGCCCAATTTTCTCTGCACTAAGACATCCAGACAAGGGGAAGAAGAAGCCCAGAATTTACCAAACCAGCTTCAATCACTGGGAATATAATGGCACCTTTTAATTGATTTATTTTCCAAATGCTATTGTGGGCCTCTTTCTTTAACAAAATTATATAAAACACATCCTTGTTAAGAGGCTACTGTCCTGTGTGCAGAAATACAAGGGACATACATATCTGTTGAATAAATTAATGAATTCAACTATGCAGAGCTGTATGTGTGGTGGCCAACTGGCCCCCTGACCTTAAGATAATATTTATCTTCCCCTGGCCTTGGATGATTCTTGATTCCTTGAATAGAATTCTTGCATTCTCTGTTGTTTCTGATACTGCCTAGTGTCTTCATCCCCTTGCCTTTTCTCTTTTGATCAATGGTGTATAGTTATTAAAAGATTGCCTAAAATGACAAGAAGCCAGATGGAAAAAGCATAGGTTTTGATATCAAACCAACCCAGGTTAAAAATCAGTTTGACAAATTACTGGCCAGTGGCCTTGGGAGTATACCTTAACCTCATACAGCTTCAGTTTCCTCATCTGAAAAATGGAAATAACATGTTAGAATTAAAAGAGATAATCTGTATACAGCATATTCTAGGAATATTTGTTTATTTTATTGAATGCTTATGTGGCACTTGCTAAAGTATGTGCCAGATACGACTTTAAACATTTGATGTACCATTGAGGTAGCTGCTATTACCCTCATTTTACAGAGGAAGCAACTGAATTAGAAAAGTGTTAAGTGATTTGACCAGGGCCACAGGTAGAAAATATCAAAGACAGGACTAAAACCTAGTCAGACTGGCTATAGAATCTATACTCCCAAGCTCTCTAGAGGCTTCCTGCTGAGGTGGTGGCTGCCATAATTATCATTCAGATGTTCTCATCTCTATTATTATCGCCGTGGCTGTAACCAGAGGCACATGGAAGACCAGGGATCAAGAGGAGGTAAGTGGTTCATATGGTATTAATTAGAGACAAAGCTTTTCTGAGAGTAGGTCAGCCCTTCTCTTTCACTCTTTTACTTTAAAGCCTGTGGACAGACAGTGTCCCAAATGAGCAGCCCAAAGTCAAAGTCATAGCACAGCATCTTCAGTTTTATTATATGGTAAGTGTTCATATAGCCCACGGGCTCAAGGCTCCTGGAAGCCAGTACATTGTCATCTTTTCAGTTCAACCCCTCACGTGTTCTTAATAGATGTTAACTTTTTACCTTTTGTTCAGATCTTCATCACTAAATGTACTCTTAGGGCAGCTTTCATGATAAAATAATTTGCATAGTAAAAACATATTTTTATTAAATATGGCTCTTTTCATAGCCATTCATTATGTGGATGGAAGGAACAAATTTTCTCTCCTTTCTAAGATGGAAATTTGCTAAGTCTATCTCAAAGGGTGGAACTTTATCCTCTTCTCAGCAGCAAGAGAATGGTGTAAAATTATCACCATGGGAAGCAAACAAGCAAACAAAAAGATCACCTGCTAGAGTCATCAGCAAAGTTTATTTTAAAGAGATCCCTGCTTTGCCAACTTTGCTTCTGTCAGCATATGTCCCTGAAAGCAGTGGGAATCAGGGATTTCACAGAATGTGAAAGTAACTGCTTAGCTCAGCCAAGTGGACAGGACGGACGGCAGTCTCATATCAGTCTTTGCTCAACCTAAGAAAACAAATGCACATAATCATAAATGGTTATGACCCAATTCTTGGCAAAGCAAAATAAAATCATATAGAACACATCTTCACTTTTGAAAGACTGCTTGGGAAGAATAATTTAGTTAAAATTACCATAATTGTCACCACAATTAACTTCATATCATACCTGGAAAACCTGAAAAATCAATGAGAAACAGAAGATATTCCTGAGAGATACATGCAGCTATTTGTTTTCCCCTGCCAATTTATATAATATTTATGGAAGAACACAACCACCATATCTGTAATCCTCTGAAAGTGACTGGATTCATTCATCTTCCAATCTAGAAATCTGTGAATGAAAAGGCATGAGATAAACTTTGCACTAGAACACACCCTTTTTCATGTACTTACATTAGAGACCAAATAAAAAGTCCCAACCAAATTTCAAATTTAAGACACACTTACAAATTAAAATCAGGATGAAACTAAAATCATCAATGAAAAGAGCAGAATGCAACTACACAATCAAAACTGTTATTATCTAGGTTTTAACTGTGTGAGGAGCAGTAGAAATTGAGAATTCAAAAGAAAAAAAATATAATAAAGATAGGTAAGAAAGAGATTTTTTTAAAAGTCACAATCCTGAAAGGAGACTCTTATGATGTAGATTTGGGCATCTGTAGATTTCCACATGTGAGATGCTGAACACTTTTCCATTATAAGAAAGAATGTAATAGGTGCATTTTAATAATTTCATTCACTAGAATTTTTTCTTCTTCTTCTAAAATATTTTAAAAAGTATGTTGCATTCATGGGAGAAGAAGAAGACACATTTATTGATAATCTGATATTGAGGATTGTTTTTAAAGAATTGGTATGTCAACAGCTGTACTGGGCCTCATGGCCAGTATGGAAATGACAGGGGCTTAAATGGCAGCTGTGAGCAGGAGCACCTGTGAACAGTTCACGGCTTGCTCATGTGGTCTGGTAACATTCTTACTTTATGCTCTAAATAAGGGCTTTACTCAACGGGATAGAAATAACTGACAAAGGATGATTGATGATTGCCCATCACACAATGGCTGACATCTCCCATTCACCAGTTCTGCTTACAAGTGCATGCCCAGATTTCACTAATAGGGGCATGACATCCAGGAGCAAGTCTGGTATAGACTGTAAGGTAAGCAGTCATTGACTGAGAAGAGACTCCAAGTTTTTGTGGACCTTGAAAAACAAAGCATTGAGGATTTGGTATGGCTTAGGAAGACAATTTGCAAAATTTTCTATTTTTTTTCCTGTACATTATGTTCTTTTGTTCTTGAGAGTTTCTTTGGTTTCATGTTCTGTACAAGCTAGCTTTTATATTTCTCCGATCCTTATTCCAAGATGACTTTGCAGTTGGAAGATGTGATGTGAGGAAGAGGTATACTAAAGGTGTTACAGTTCTAAATATTAATTTAAACATTACTATAAAACAAGGGAGATCTGCCTTGCCTCTGAAGTTGCTATCTTTGAATATGCATCTATCTAGTCAGCTTTCAACACCCCCCCCCTTTTTTTTTTGCTGTAAAATCTGCTGTCTCTCTTTTTGTTTAATTGTTTAATAGGACTCTGATATCCAGGGGTTCAGTTGAGGTTTAAATAAAGTTTACTATTTCAATTAGGGGGCAAACTTCTGACCACAATAGGCCAACAGGTATCAAAAACACAGCAGCAAGTGTGGTGTACTGAAAAGAGCCTTTGTGTAGTAAACTTTTCAAAATACACATTGCTATATCCAAGCAGTCTTACACTTTTCAATAGTATATCCAGACTCCTATGTTCTCATATGAGGAGAAACTTACTTTTAATTTCCCCCCACGCTTCTCCCCAAAGTCCCCCATTTGCCCAGCTATCACATTTGCAGGACAATCTACCCTTACTATTATTTTTCTCCAATTAAGGTTTGATCTTCTCTGATACACTTCTAAACCTTTTCATGGCCAGTGACTGGCCCTTTGGTTTTTTTGTTTTTATGTTTTGCTTATTGTTTCAGACACTGACAGTTCCAACATTCAGTTTGGAAAAGTGATGAGTTGTTGTTCTAAATCATGGAGTCTTGCCCTAGAATTTTGCTCAGGAGCCAGTATTGCTTCTGCAACCACTTGCAAACTTATTTCTGTAAAGGATTGTATTAGAGGTATTTCACTAGTCAAATTTGAATAAACAGCCAACTTATTTTTATTCCTTTCTAAGTCTTACCAAATTCTCCCAAGAAAAATAAGGAGGGCATATCAACACTGTAATTTCACAGCTATAGAAACTGGACCAAGTGAAGCTAAGCAGATGGTCCCACATCTCACAATTTTAGCAAGTACAGGAGCCTCCAAGAGCCTCCAAGAGCCTTCAAGACTCACACTTGGCCCTCCATGACTCTTTCCACTGGACCATTTGGGCAGTAAGCTTGTGGACCATGCAGCATAGATTACCTGGTTATTGTGGCCTTCCACCAATGTGTATCCATAGTCAGAGGATGGCCACCCTGTCAATGTCCTCATTCAACCCTAATCATTTTGTAACATCAGAGAACATGGATGGAGCCCTAAGCATGTGCAAAAGGCTATGCTCATTGCCATTCAAAACATTACTATAAAACAAGGGAGGTCTGCCTTGCCTCTGAAGTTGCTATCTTTGAATATGCATCTATCTAGTCAGCTTTCAAAGCACGTTTTTTTTTTTGCTGT